TAACGATATATTACTGTCTACATATCATTAGCCTACTTACAATTTATTAACTTAAGAGTGTGAGAAACTACTCTGAAAAGGGTATTATATTTGTAATACATAATGAAGATAACATTTACTCTTAAAGGATTGATACTAGAGAGAATTTATTATTATACTTTAAGTTCTAGGGTACATGTGCAGACCCTGCAGGTTTGTTACATAGGTATACATGTGCTATGGTAGTTTGCTGCACCCATGAACCTGTTACACATCAAGAAAAACCTTCAACACAATGCAGTAAATGCTATAATCACTATCTAGTTTATCATATGAAAATCTAGTTTTAAAAAATATTCCAAAAAACGATATAATGTAATCTTTAAAAAAAAATGAGATAATTGACCAGATTTTTTTTTTACTATTTTATAGATGAGCCAGCTAAAGAACAAAGATTTTACATGACCTCTCTTCCATTCTTTTCTCTAGATCAATATTTCCCAAAGTATATTTAGCATCATACTCAATCTCAGTGATGCTTATAATAAAAACAAAAGGATTCTGCAGGCAGTTCTGCAATCCCTCTTGGAGATCCATATGCATATTATCATTTTAATAGTTCCAAGATGACATGAACTTAAAAAAAAAAAAAAAAAACCTGCTAACTCTGCTTTACCCAGTGTTTCACAAACTTATGTTACCATAAAATTGTGTACAAAACTTTTCAAACCCTGAAACACTTTTGAAACAGTGAAACTTTTGAGACACTTTTGAAGCTACAGTTCCTAAAGATGTTCTGTAGAGACATAAAGGGTCCCAGAAGATTGTGTGGTGTTGGGGTAGAGAGAACACTGAACTGGTCCATCTGGGCTTCTTCTCTCCTCCCCTACGAGCCTGACTTTACCCAGAACAGTTCTATATGATCTATATTCTGCATCTATGCTGATCTATATATATTCAGTACTAAAGGAAGTGATTATGCAAGGTCAATCTGCAATAAAAATTACTACTTTAAGTGAATCACCAACATTTATACTAAATACTCAAGAAAAGGGTTTGAATAGGGTTTTTGCTTAAAATGTAACTGAAGTTTATTTTAATTAAAAAAAAATGTTTACACTATAATTGCGACTACACGTTAATTTTTGGAACAAAAGTAAGTCATTATAGAGTTTTAAAAATTTATTTGAAAAACTTTTGACAGGATGATACATAATCCTCTATTTAATTTATGACTTTTACATAAAATTCTCTTCCATAATATTCCCAAGATTCATCATTTTTTTTTAGATAGGGTCATGCTCTGTTGCCCAGGCTGAAATGCAGTAGAGCCATCACAGCTGACTGCAGACTCCACCTCCCTGGGCTCAGGTGGTCCTCCTACCTCAGCCTCCCAAGCAGTGGGGACTACAGGTGCACTCCACCATACCTGCTTTTTGTTTATTTGTTGTTTGTTTGTTTTAATAGAGATAGGTTTTTGGCCATGTTGCCCATGGCTGGTCTCAAACTCCTGAAGCTCAAGCAATCCACCCACCTCGCCTCCCAAAGTGCTGGGATTACACGCATGAGCCCCTGGGCCTAGACTCATCGATTTGTTCGAAGACCTCTCTTAATTATTTATCGAAGACCTCTCTTAATTATTTAACTAGCATACATAGCAGTCTTTTTGAAATACCTGCCCTACTATTATTTCGAACCTACTCTATGGGCATATTTTATAATCCCCACAGAGAAAAACAAACCTTAGAAAAATGAAGATGCAGACATGCATGAGAATTGAGACTAAATGTTGGGGGTGACGTGGAGAGGAAAGCTATGAAGACTGTGTGATGTGGTAGTATGTATTCATGAAGGTTTTTACTTTGCATATGTTTTGATATTTTGACATCTTGGAGCCTTGCTCATCCTGCAGAAACCACCCTTCTCAGGGCTGGGTAATTCCTGGAGATAGTAAACAACTTGTCAGCCAGTATCACTTTCACATGCAAATCAACTGCTATGGTCTAAATATTTACATTCTCTTAAATTCATATGTTGAAACCTGATTACCAAAGTAATGGTATTAGGAGTTAGGGCCTTTGCGAGATGATTATATCATAAGGCAGAATCATCTTAAGTGGGATTAGTGCCCTTAAAGAAGAGGTCCTCATAGAGCTGACCTGCCCCTTCCACCATGCGAGGATACAGCCAGAGGGCCCCATCTATGAAGCAGAGAGCACATATTTACTAGACTCCTAATCTGCTGGCTCCTTGATCTGGAACTTCTCAGCCTCCAGAACTGTAAGAAATAAATGTCCATTGTTTATGAGCTACTCAGTCGGTGGTACTTTGTTACAGTAGCCCAACGGGACTAAGGTACAACCAAGCCACATCGCTTATATCCTCAACTACCTTCTTTATCTAACGTTCACATGCTAAGCCCATATTTCCTCTACCATAGATCACCAGGGCCACCTATCAGAGACACCCCTATAGCCAAGAGCCTACCAAAATTATTCAAAAAACCCATCTTAAGCTGTTTACCTGTGCCTTGCCTTTTTCTCAGAAACTGCAATAAAGAATCTGGACCATACTCTCCCCCTGTACCTTTTACTTCCTGACCAAACCTGGTAATTTCATATGTGACCCTGTGTAGGATGGTGGGCCTCCTCTTGGAAACCGTGAGTAATCAAAGTTCTTTCAAAAGCATTGACCTTTTTTGCAATCACTCACTCAGCTCTGTAAATTAAATATGGTTACTACGAAACATAGCAGAAATATTCTCTGACAGGTCATCAGTTACCAATGGCTTTGCATATAATTTGATCACTTCACCAACAGCACCTACATCAAATTCATGAAATCTTGCATTTATTGCAAGGCTTAGATGTTATACTTTTCAGTTTACTTACATTGTATCGTAAGATTTAAATACTATTAAGCAGGGGAAATTGATAAAGGCATTGCTTTGCTGAATGAAGATGCAGATATTAATGTTAAATTTCGAGAGATGTTTGTGTAGGGATTCAATATATAATCAGTTCATTGATGAATATTTTTATGGAATAATACTTGTTTCCATATATAACTTAGAGTGGCAAAATCTTCAATAATGAATCCTCAGATCATCAGAAGCCTCTCTCTAAACTCTACATGTTGAGTACTGAGTTTCTTGATCAACTTTTTTTTTAAGTTATACTGATACAATTTGACTATAAGTTCTAGAAGGTCAGAAATCATGACCTCAGCTCCCTGTTATATTCCCAACTATCTAGCACAAGTTAGGCACTCAAAAAATTGTTGTTGACCTGAAAACTGCTGATCTAGACATAGCTTTTACCTCTGGATTCAACCAGACTACCTAAAAACTGTCTCCTTCAAACACATTTGTCTCTCATGGAACTGATGTTGTTGAAGTAGGTTCTGGTTGCATGTTGTAGACACTGCTGGTCACTACCAGAGCACATTCCCCGTTTCCTTTCTCTATATAAAATTTTGTCTAAAAATCTAGACTTGCTAGCTTTCCTGGAAGTTAGCTGTGAAGGTGTTCCCAAGTTTCAGCAATGATGTTAAATAAAAGTGCTTTTGTGACCCCAGAAAGTATCCTTAAAGGAAGTGGGGAGGGGCCCCTTTTTTGGCCTTTCTTTCATCGTTTTGCCTGGAAATTAGATCTGACGACTGTTGCTCTATTAGTGATACTGGGCTATGAGAATGAGGGCCATATCTTAGGCATGGTATGGAAAGAAACAAAAGGCGTGTGAGTACTGGAAATACTTATGGAGTCATCAGCCAACCCTGTACTGCCAAACTGCACAGCTTTTTACAGATAACAAAAAAAGTCATGGTCATTCTGGGGTTTTCTGATCATGATCCCAAGCAATGCAGACTCTCAGCTTTCGTTATTAAAAACCTAAAAACTGGTAGTCTATTTATGTTTGATATATTGTAGACAACATTATTTATTACATCATTTATTAAATTCTATATGAACCCTTCTGCAAAATATTCTTTCAGAACTGAGCACCAAATTTTGGCTGGTTCTCTTTGAAGAAATTATAGAAATTTTCCCAGGTACACTGCCAGAAAACATAACACAAAATCTTTGGCCCATGTTTGATTTTTTACTATGAATCACATGGCCATATATTAACTTTTAAACTGTTCTTAAGCCACTTAAAATCTTTTAAAAATGTTGAGGTTTACAAAAATTACACTCACATACTCAATTATTGAGCATGTTTGTATTTATAATGCTCAATGACTAAGCTTAAAGTTGTCTTCTGACTCCAGAATTACTTGAAAAATAACATGATTCCTGAGTAAACTTAAATGCAGTGGTATTTTAAAATAATACATTGTAAATTTAGAGGAAAAGCAAGTGAATTGCGTAGTCTGAATTAGTATGGGGAAAAGCAAATTAACTTTCTGTTACTATTTGACTGTTTTGAATTTTTTAAGAGAAAATTAAGGCTTTGTTGTCATAACTTAAGATTTGTTTACAGAATCTAGAATTTACCCTAGGGGTTTATTTTTATCTGTTAAGAGCTAATGAAACAAATTCCAAACAAATCTTCAGTTTTGAATATATTTTCATATCACTACACTTTGCACTAAGCTGTCAGAACTGCAGCTTTTTAAAAATGCAATATTGAATGTACAATAGAGGTAATTAGAACTGTGCAAATAAATAATTTGAGAATATAGGACACATACTAAATCAATAATCAAGTGAGAAACAGTATTTGTAGCATATAGAACAAGAATAATACACAGAAAAAGTCCCTGTAAATACATGTTCGTTAGCCCTATATATAATTAAAAATCTCTTATTTCATTAAACAAATATTCTAATTAACAAAAACTCATTGCATTTAACCTAAATATTAACGAGTATATTTATGAATAGACTAAATAATGATATAGATATTAAAATTATACTTGTAGTACTCGGATCTTTCTTTTTGAGTTGGAAAATACTTCATGATTCTTGGATGTTTTGGTTTACTATTATAATTATTTTTATAGAGGCCAATTCTCACCACGTTTCTCAGCATGCAGTGCAATGGGTATTCACAGGCTCGATCACAGCAGACTGCAGCCTCAACCTCCTGGGTTCAAGTGATCCTCCTGCCTCAGTCTCTGCAGTAGCTGGGACTATAGGTACATACCACTCTACTTTCCTCTATAATTGCCATTTTAATGTTCATACATTCAATCAACAAATACTTATCAAATGCCTCCAATAAGGGAGGTGTGTATTATAGCAGGTTATGAGAATACAATGATGAATAAAATAGTTTCTGCCTTAAAAATTTTTACAGATCTGCTGAAGAGGCAGATAATTAAATAGGAATTATAACATGAAGTAATATGTGCTAGGCAAAGGACATGATAGGGTAGCCAGGGCAGATCAGAGGTGGCTTCCAGAAAGAGGCAGAATGCAAACAGAGAAAGAGTCGAAGAGGTGAGAGAGGCATTGTAGGCTGTGGGCTCAGGTAAAAGAGAATAAGCCTGGCCCAGGCAACATGAGAGAGGGACAGTACGGAAGGTCAACATGGTTGCAAGAAGTCAAATCATAAAGGGCTTTGGGGATGTGAAGAGTTTAGACAATATCATAATTGATAATGGGGATTTTGAAAGGTTTTCATCAGGGATGTAAAGTGATCAATATTGTTAAATATCAAATGTAGAACATTGTTTAATTAAGATTTATAGGACCAGAAATGTCTCCATTTAATAGTAATAGAAGCATTTTTAAGAACATTATATAGATAATACTGTATAATACTATTCCTATTAAGTAAATTTGCAATATTTTACTTTGTTGTTTAGGTAATAAAAATATATTTAAATTGACTAAAATTGATTACTATATAATTTTGTATTTTACATAAATAGAAAAGAAATGCTTTTATAATAAGAAAGAAACAAAATTGTAATAAATATTGGTAAGTCTTTTATTACAATAATGTAATATGTTGAAGAATGTCTAGATTTGTACAAATAAGAAAAATCTGGAGGACTCCAGAAGAGAACATGAAAACGTTGAAGAAAATAAGAACTACAAGAAAAGGTTAAGAGAGCCAAAACCAATCTACTAAGAAATAATGAAGGATATTTTAGAAACTGTCTTAAGACATGCCTTTTCTTTTCTGGACTAAATAGGCAACATATTTTCTGAGAGACAATAATCACTCTTTCTTTTCACCCAAAAATAAATGAAAAAAAGAAAAAAAAAATTCAGTCATCCCTGTGATTTATTTCCTGTGAAATTATTTATTACCAGACATTTTCAGATTAATACTGCTTTTTAAAATAAATTAGATATTTGCCTAAATAAAATATATTAAATACAGGTACCTCCAGGGAAACTACTATATCATTTCTTGGGATGTTCTTAATTCTCTTGGATTCTAAAATGTAATTTGAATTAGTTGATATGTTTTAACAATATTCCAGGATAATTTATAATTTAATATTTAATCACATTTAAGTACTACTAATAATTTAAGAGTTTTACCTCAGCCACATTTGGAAAAATAAATTCACCTTCCAAAGTTTTTCATGATAATGAATATTTTGTTATTATTGGGAAAACATATAGTAAGTTTTAAAATGGCATGGTTAATCAAAACTAACACATTTCTCCTGTCCACTGCCAAGTACCAAGTATGTCTACAGAGTGGCAATTAGTAAATGACATTCCACACTTTGCAATTGGCATTCTGTTAGCTGTGAATCTCTAACAACAAACATCTCTTTTAATAAATCATATTATAAAAAAGAGTGAGGACTGAATAAATTGTAATGCTTCTGTTGAGACTGACCAACTAGCATACAGGCCTTTCTTCAAGTCTTTCAACCATGAACACATAGATTAAAAACTGTCATTAAAACTGATTAAATAACTTAAAATCATACCTGCACTGAAGAGAGGGGAGAGATATTCTCAACTTAAAATGTTTCAACTTCACTATATTTTCTAAACACATTGTCATGTTTGATGCTAAAGCATAGCATGGCATAGTGATAACATCCCAGACTCTAAGGCAAACTTCCTAGTTAGAATTTTGACTCCTCACCTGCCAGTGTGTCCTTGTCTGAGTTTACTCCCCTCTCTGTGCTTCAGGTTTTTCTATGCTTTGGTTTCCTCGTGGTTGTGAAGTGCACACAAAGCATGTAGAACAGGGGTTGGCACACGCTTAGGCTGTGTGACTGTTAAATAAACCTTCTTGGAACCTCAATATTTTTAGAAATCTAACATGTTGACCATATATAATAAAACAATTATAATATTCCAAAAGTAAAATCCTTGATTATAGACAGTGTTGAATTTTGGCTCCCGTGCCCAATAGAGTCTTCTGGGATATTTAGGCTGGTACATACCCTGTGTAGTCAGTGTTTATGCTCAATTAGTGGTTAAATATTTTTAAATATCATCCCTGTTTATAAGTGATAGGTATCAACTGTGTAAAGCTGGGTTATTCAGGGCCAGTATTTTTCAACTGCCTTCCTTAGAGTCCCCTGGGGTTGCATCCCGGTAGGGAGGGAAGAAAGCTGGGGCAGGTAAGGGGCCTTTAAGTTATAGTTTGGAGTTAACTAAAAGTCATCATCTTAAAAGAAGGCCTAATAGCCTTAAATCAAGCTGAAATATTCTGCACTGAAGGTTAATTTGGAAAAGCATTTTGTACAAAATATGTGCAAATCTTTTCAACCAGACTAATTTCTAGATGAAGAAATTGAAGCAGAAAAAGGTGAAGTCACTTTAAGAAGGTTACATATCTAGGCCAGCTGCGGTGGCTCAAGCCTATAATCCCAGCACTTTGGGAGGTCAAGCCAGGTGGATAACCTGAGGACAGGGGTTCGAGACCAGCCTGGCCAACATGGCAAAACCCTGCCCTACTAAAAATACAAAAATTAGCCGAATGTGGTGTCTGGCGCCTGTAATCCCATCTACTCATGAGGGTGAGGCAGGAGGATCACTTGAACCCAGGAGGCGGAGGTTGCAGTGAACCAAGATTGTGCCATTGCACTCCACCATGGGTGACAAGAGCAAAACTCTGTCTCAAAAAATGGTTACATATCTAGTCAGGGTTCATCTGGGATCCAAACCCTATTTGAGCTTTTATTTGCAAAATATTTTTCTTACTTCTCTCTGCTACCCACTCCTGCCTTCAGCTAAAGTAGACTCAAAAGTTTGCACAGACACACATTAATACAATGTGTGGATAGTTTGATAAGTGACACATATGAACATAAAAAAAATATATATAAGTAACTTAGGAAGTTGGACAGTAATAACAAGGAAGATTAAGATGAAATACATAAAAATATATAAATGTTAATACTGATTAAAACAGGTAATGGGCTTATAGATTATTTTATTCATTATATGTTTATCATTTTCAAATTTTCTGTAATGAACAAAGCACTTTTTTTTTTTTTTTTTTGTGAGACGGAGTTTCGCTCTTGTTACCTAGGCTGGAGTGCAATGGCGCGATCTCGGCTCACCGCAACCTCCGCCTCCTGGGTTCAGGCAATTCTCCTGCCTCAGCCTCCTGAGTAGCTGGGATTACAGGCACGTGCCACCATGCCCAGCTAATTTTTTGTATTTTTAGTAGAGACGGGGTTTCACCATGTTGACCAGGATGGTCTCGATCTCTTGACCTCGTGATCCACCCGCCTCGGCCTCCCAAAGTGCTGGGATTACAGGCTTGAGCCACCGCACCCTGCCCCCAAAGCACTTTTATAATTAGAGGAAAAGTTCAATTTAAAAATTATATTCCTGCTACAAATGCTTATCATTTATTTTCATTTTACTTTTTTATCTTGCATTCATTTTCCCCAGTAATAGATAGTATAACTTTTTCATGGGCTCTAAATGTATATCGAATAAGGTTTTATTCTTTCTTCATATCTTTGATGCTAAATTATTAACTGATTATCCCAATTAGAAGATCAAGAATGGATTCAATTATTCGGAATTAGTAAATATATAAATGTTCGCTTTTGTTTTTTGAGACAGGGTCTCATCCTGTCACCCGGGTTGGAGTGCAATGGCACAATCATGGCTCACGGCAGCCTCTAACTCCTGATCTCAAGCAATCCTCCTATGTCAGCCTCTTGAGCAGTTGAGACTGGAGGCACATGCCCAGCTAATTTTTACATTTTTTTGCAGCGTGAGAGGCTCCCTATGTTGCCCAGGCTGGTCTTGAACTCCTGGGCTCAAGCAATCTTCCCAGCTACGCGTCCCAAGTTGTTGGGATTACAGATGTGAGCCAACATGCTCTACATGTGCACATATTTTTAAAGATTTTATATTAGATGTGTATAAAAATTGAATCTACCTGGCATCATGGCACTGCCGCCTTCTGTGTGGGTATAAACATGGTGAGATGATAGCAAGCCCCCAGGGCTACAGAGATATAGGTACTATTCACCCCCAAGGCAGGGTGTACTCCAGCAGAGGTTTCATTTGCCAAGTGGACTCTTGTCATAGCAGCTTGGGTCCCAGGGAGCATGTGGGGAAGTGGGAAGTGGGCTCTCAGTGTGTGTTCCTTCTCTGGAGCAACGTGGCCATCTGAACTCCATGCAGTTTCCTATACTAAGCTTAGGGCCAGAAGACTCTGGGGCTCCCCTCTAGCTAGGCTTGCAGGCCTCCTTGGTAGGAAGAGAAACAACTGGGAATTTCCTGCTTACCTTTTCCTCTTAACGTTGTATTTTTTGTCTCCAAGCTGACGCCTGCCAGTATTTACCTCCCTCTCTACCCTGCCCTCCTGAGTTTTTGTACCTCAGGGGGTTGTATCACTTTCTTGCTGAATTTCAGTGTTCCTCCTTTAATCAGCTGAAGTAAAGCTATTTGTCTTTTGTTTTGGTCTTTCTTTGTGAAGGAGACCAGTAGAGGGCTCCTCTAGTTGAGTTGGGCATTTTGCTCTCCTTTTTTAATGGTTTGGTTTCTTGTTGTTGTTAGTGTATATCTATCTATATTCTATCTATAAAATTATATATATAATATAAAAATATAAAATTTATATAAAATATATAAAATTTTATATATAATAAATATATATGTCTATTTGCTTATTAAGGTTCACAATGACAGTGCTGATGAAATACTAAAGAAAAATTAATCATTCCTCTAAAAATAAAGCAGTGGTTCAGTGATTCAGAAGTAAAACTTTTTTTTAAAGGACTGATGTCCTAAGCAAGAACCACAGGCATAACCATTGAACATATACAAATTCTATTCAATAGTCTAGAACTACTATTGGCAAAATGGGTCTACTGCTCATCTTTATTCTACATACGTTACAATATAAATGAAGGCAAAGACAAAGTTTACATGAGAAAAATAACAAATCCGGTTAAAGGTGCAATAGCCTAGAAGAATAGAAAAAATTAACTGGGAACAAATGAAAATGTGACTTTTTAGACAAGATTGGTTTTATTTACCTACTCTTTCATGCCCAGAATGCTTTTAATAGAAAAGTATAAACATGCAGCCATAAAAAAGATGAGTTCATGTCTTTGCAGGGACATGGATGAAACTGGAGACCATCATTCTCAGCAAACTGACACAGGAACAGAAAACCAAACACCGCATGTTCTCACTCATAAGTGGGTGTTGAACAATGAGAACACAGAGACACAGGAAGGGGAACATCTCACACTGGGGCCTGGGGAATTGGGAGCTAGAGGAAGAACAGCAGGGGGTGTGTGGATTGGGGAGGGCTAGCATTAGGAGAAATACCTAATGTAGATGATGGGGTGATGGATACAGCAAACCACCTCCATGGCACGTGTCTACCTATGTAACAAACCTGCGGGATCTCCACATGTATCCCAGAACTTAAAGTATAGTAAATTTAAAGAAAAGAAAAGTATAAACATGATTCTTAGGTAAAATTAACGCAGAACACACAAGAATGGTCACATTACCGCCACCGCTTGGACAGCACCTTTTCATTGCGTTCTACCTGCTCTCATTTTAAGGGAGAGATGGTGTTATAACTGAGTTTGTTTACCAAACATTTATTAGCCACCTATAAGTTCCAGAATCATCCTGAGCCCCGGTTACACAAAAATGAAAACAATTGACATGGTTCCTACACACTCGGCACTATTTTTTTTTGTTTTTTTTGTTTTTTTTTTGTTTTTGGTCCTTTTGGCCACAATTTGGTAACAGCATTTAATTTAAGAAGAGAAATAAAATTGCTTGTCTACGGAGAGCTTGCTCTGAGACTGGTTAAATGTCAGTGTTTAGTTTATGAAAAATTACTTATATTTAATTGATAAATAAAAAGTATATATTTATGGGATAAAATGTTTCAACATATGTACTCATTGTGAGATGATTAAATCAAGCTGATTACCATATCTATTACCTCACATGTTTATCATTTTTTGTGGTAAGGACATTTAAAATCGACTGTTTTGGTAATTTTCAAGTATACATGATAATAACTGTAGTTACCATGGTATAGAGTACATCTCCAGAACTTATTTCTTCTATCTAACTGAAACTTCATATGCTGTAACCAGGATCTCTCTATTTTCCTAATGCCTGCCTCCAGCCCCTGGAAACCACCATTCTACTCCTAAGAGTTCAACATTTTTGGATTTCACATTTATGGGAGATAATGTGGTACTTGTTTTTCTGGGCCTGGTTTATTTCACTTAGCACAGTGTCCTCCAAAACTTCCTGTTTTTACATCCTATTTGGCCTCATAGTCCACTGGGTTGTCTATAAAATTGCCCACCATCTCACACATACCTACTTGATCTCCAGAATATAATTATTAATGCAGACATTTTCTGGCTAGCAGTCCCAAAATTCTGGTAGTTTTCACATCTGGGAATTAGATGAAATCTCCAAACATATGAAAGCAATATCTAATGGGCCCTTCAAGGACCCTTGCCACATCCTAGAGTTTGATTAAAGTGAGAAACTGAAAATCATATTATCTACTTATATTTCTGTCATCATTGGGACAGGAAAAGAAATTAAAGTGTTTCAGTATCACACAATGAATTTCTGTGGGTCTCTAACAATATTTTACTATACTTTGCTGTGGATTAGTCTCCTGACATGCTGTTTGATGAGTGTTTTTGACGGTGGTTTCTCTAAAGCAGAGAATGAGTTTGGATGTATCTGCCCAAACACTTACATCCCGTAGACTGTAGCAAATATAACTGGCACACACTTCAAGGCTTGATTGCATTAGTATCATCTTCTGTTAAATTAAGCTGTACAGTAATTTTCAGCTTAAGCAGCTGCTTTTATAAGCAGTGGTACTTCAGTCACTGAATCAAGGCAAACACATAGGAAATGCTACTTCCTCATAGCTCACTTCGAGAAACACAAGAAATACATACAAAAAGAAACATTAAACAAATTTAATGTGAAGACACATTAAACAAATTCTAAAAAATACTTGTTTTACATTTGTCTAAATAAAATAGCTAAAAATAGCATGAGTTCAATACCATGACAAAAAATATAATGGATAGACTCAATTGTTTCCAGTTCTTCAAAAATATTTAAACATCCTGCTTAAATTATGACTAAAATCTATAAGATAGTTTTAAGGAAACATAACTAATCATTTTGCGAAACTGCTTTTAAATCTTTCCAAATAGAAAATGTTCTTCTTTTTATATTTTATATTAATTGTAAAATAATGAATCTAAGTATGAAAATATGGAATTACCTATGTCTATTACATTTATAGCACATAATTGTATTTGGGTTTGTTGTTGTTGTTGTTGTGTAACACATTACCACAAACTTAGCAGCATAAAACAACAAACATTTATTATCTCAGTTTCAGTGAGTCAAAAGTTTAAGCTTTGCATAGCCTGATCCCTCAGAAACGCACACAGTTACAATCAAAGTGTTAGACACGCTAAGATTCTCATCTGGAGTTACAAGTTCTCTTTTATGCTCAATCAGCTTTTTGGCAGAATTTAGTTCCTTGTGGTTGTAGGACTGAGGTCTTCAATGTTTTGCTAGCTGTCAGCCAGCCATTGCTCTCAGCAGGAAAAAGCTGCCCACAGTTTCTTACCACATGGCTCCAACAGTCAACTCACAATATGATTGTATGCTTTCTTCCAGGACAGAAGGAAAGACTCTGTCCAGGTAATATGGTATAATCACAGCAACTAGCCCATCACCATGTGTTCTATACAATAATTTAATCAGAGGAGTAACTATTCCACCAAATTCACAAGTTCTGCCCACACTCAAGGGAGGTGGGGTATTACATTAGATTGGTACAAAGGTAACTGTGGTTTTGTCATTGAAAGTAATAGCAAAAAACCACAATTATTTTTGTATCAACATATACAAGGTATGCTCACCAGCAGATGGGAATCTTGGGAACCACCTTAGAATTCTGCTTACCATGACAATGCTGTCTTATGTGCAATATGACTAGAAGTAGTGTAGCTATTGTGGATGTCTTTTAGGACTT